AGATCCAGTCCAACTATCAACCTAGCACCAGCATAATCACCACTAAACCACATATAACCCCAAATGCTCGCCTAATTTATTCTCTCTCTCTCTCCACAAATCCTCCAGCCCCACTGCAAAGCTGAGAAGACAACATCCTGTTGGGAACTGGCAAGAACACAAGCAGTCATTCTCTCTTCTTGAATAAAGAGAAGACTCGAATATGACCCCTGAGTCCCAAATCCTATTCAAGCCCCTTCAACAACAGCTTCCCATCATATCTTCAAAATGCAGGCAGATGCTCTAGGAGTTGAATTAGGGTTGAAGACCTAATTCCCCATTTGCTCAATTCATAATGTCCTAGTAGTTCCTACCCCTGCTTCCAAACACAGGGTTAGTGAAGTGGGACAGGATTGTGAAGAGAGTCATTAAGACCATGAGCTATGCAGGAAACTGATCCAACCAAACCTCATTCAACAACCTCTCGGCTCAAGAGATACCTGGAGCCAATGAAAAGAAGAAAATGAGCTCCTCTGCTGCTCTGATCCCAGTTTTACTCTGCAGAAGCCATAAAAAGTTCTATAAAAGGTTCATTTTTCTCACTACTTTTGTGCAGGGACATACACAGAATTGTAATGTCACCAAAAAGTAAGCACACCTGAAGTGAGTTTCATTATCATTTTTTTCTCATATTTTAAAGAGAAGATTGAGAAAAACAGACTATATTGTAAACATGAACTGCAAAGAAGCAGTACCAGAATGGTACTGTTGTGACATTCAGAATGTCAGCAAATTAAAAATCTTCCACAGAGTAATTGCATTGGTAAGGAAACTGTGTAATGCTTTGACTGGAAATTACATCCTCTTGCAACTTAACCAACACAAGATAAATGATTCTTGGTCTAATTTCTGGTAGCAAATGGAGGAGTGACATGGGAGCAAAAAGGAGTTGATTACAGAATTTGAAAGCTAAAAGGCAGAAAAGCAAGACAACAAGAAAGAAACGTGAAACATCTCATCATATAGCTAAAACTAGTACCTCTTAATCAACGTGAATTCATTCTGATTACCTACTTCAATGCAATTGTATCATATTTTAAATGACATGCTGGTTAAAGAAATTCCTGTGGGAGATGATCCCTTCTCTGTGACCACAGGATATTTTAATAGGAGATGTTACTAATGTTCTTCATTAATGGCAATGGCTACAATACAGTGAAGGAGAAGGATTACATTTGCGGTATCACATTCTATGCATTCCTGCACAAGTGTGGGAACAGCCAGATGAGCCCTGGAAGAGGAAAACTGCACTAGCTGTGACAAAGGGACCTTCTGAGCATGGGAGGACTGAAGCATTATGGAGAAGCAACCAGTAACAGCATGTCTGTGGTTGTAAAGATAAGGCAGAGGCATCTGTACTCTGATTTAACCTCAATGTGAGCACGTTTGGCACAAACACTTGCTAACCAAAAACCACGAATTTTTACTTTTCACCATACCTATGCCAGTAAATGTAATTATTCAAATGCCTCCAGGAAGCAAATGCCCAGCAGGCACATGCATGTTCTAATGTAATTCTCTAGCAAGTTTTGAAAAGCAGCCAAAGAACCACAAAGAAGTCCGACTCTATACACAGCTTCCTAAATTTTCTAATACATAAATAGTTCCACTTGCGTCTACTCATGAATATTTTCATATGGCATTGTCTGAAGTAGAAGAGAGTTGTAGAGTCCATCTTTCCTTTTTCTGGATCTCTCCAGACCCACAGAGCTCCTCTAGCTCTCTCAGACAGTACTAGTTCTATATCTCACTATTGTAGATTTGGATTTTTTAAAAAGAAAATGTTTAACAGTCTGTTTTTAACTTGAGTCTGGTTTTAACTTGATGGCTGTGATGGAATTTTATTTTATTTGCATTCTTGAGTGTCCAAAGTGCCCAAGCCAGTTTCACATGGATAAAACTTGAAATTCCCAGTTTACACATGATGTTCAACTGTGACAATTAACTGGATGGTTGCCTGTAAACTCTTGTCATAAATTTTCATTCCACACATTTAAAAATGATGGGAACATGAGGTGGACTTCAAAGTGTCTCTGCAAAGGGCCTAAACCAATTTGTAATAATTTCGGAATATGGTAGATTCTTATTCTCCTACCAAAGTACCAGCACAGATGTAGCATGATGTATTGATAGAGTGATTATTATATATACCCACTTCAAAATATTATTTTTTCTGTTGTCAAAACTGGTGCCAAGCTTTGAAACAGGATGGACAGTTAAATACTAAATGTACCTTAATTCTAGCTATAACCTTCACTTCCTTCAATAGATGGTACTACAATATTATAAAATTCAATTGTACTGGCTATTCCTTCATTATATATATCTTAAAACACAAAATTCCATGATCTGGTCATTCAAAGCAAGAATGCAGGTGTGAAATTATTTGCCTCTTATTAATAATCTCACTGGTACACCCTAAGTGGAGAGCAGAACTGAATAGCCAATTTATTTCTCATTCAAAGTGAGCCAAGAAATACAAAAAATGATGGAGCCAGCAGTAGAGAGGAAACATTAACCTGGAGTTCCTGACTTTTTGAAATGCCTTTTATTTTCAAATGTTTAACAAAAATTGATATTCTTATTTCTAAGCTTAAAATTATACTTCTCATACTCAATATATCTAAAACTAATTTAATATTTTGTATTTTCCCCAAATGAAAATAGTTATTGTGTGTGATTCAAACCTAAAAGATTCCCCAAACAGTTAGTCTTTCATGGCAGTCCCAGCAGGAAACATCAAGCAGAACACAAAAGCAATACTCCCTTTTCAAAGTTCAAAGTTTCTGAACATGGCTCAATGTCCAGATGGAGACTGGTGACAAGTGGTGTTCTTCAGGGGTCCATACTGGCCCCCTGCATGATATCTCCATCATAAACAGTGATATCGACTGCACCCTCAGAAAATGACCACAGCAAACTGAGTGGTGTGTCTGGCACACCTGAGGGGTGGGTCACATCCACAGGGACCTGGACAAACTTGAGAACTGGGCCCATGGAAACCTCATGAGGTCCCACACCTGGACAGCTCCCAGCATCCATACAGGCTGGAGATGAACGGATCCAGAGCAGCCCTGCCAAGAAGGGACTGGGGGTGCTGGTGGGTGAGAGGCTGGCCATGAGCCAGCAGTGTGCCCAGAAAACCAATCATGTCCTGGGCTGCATCTGTAGCAGCGTGGCCAGCAGGGAGAGGGAGGGGATTCTGCCCCTCTGCTCCACTCTGGTGAGATCCCACCTGGAAGGCTGCAGACACTTTTGGGGTCTTCAGAGGAGGAAGGACATGGACCTGTCAGAGCAGGTCTAGAGGAGGGCTACAAAAATCATCAGAGGGCTGGAGCATCTCTCCTACAAAGACAGGCTGACAGAGTCGGGGCTGCTCAGCTCAGAGAAAGAAGACTCAAGAAATCTTAGCATAGCCTTTTAGTAATGAAAGGGGGATTAAAAGAAAGATAGGGACAGACTTTTTAGAAGGGTCTGTTGCAAGAGGAAAAGGGGTAATGAAGGGGTAGTGAAGGTGATGAGACACTGGAACAGGCTGCCCAGATAGGTGGTAGATGCCCAATCCCTGAAAACATTCAAGGTTGGATGAGACTCCGAGCAACCTCATCTAGTTGAAGATGTCCTTGCTTATTGCATGGGGCTGGACTAGAGGACCTTTAAGATCCTTTCCAAACTAAGTTATTCTATGAATGTGTATACTTGATTGTCTTGGATGGTATTACCACACACCCTTATGGTAGGACCTCCATATGTGTATCTTCATCTCCCTCAGGAACAGCCACTGGCAGTCAGACTGTCAGAAATTATTGTAATGCCCTTAGTGTTCCAGTTCCTCCTATGAATATTATATAAAATAGTTTTCCTGTTGATCAAACTTTTTTTTGAGGGACCAGGGGAGCTGATGAATCTAGAAGAAGTTGATTAAGTCCATCTCACTACAAACTGATGCCCTGCTATACGTGTGAAGTTGGACTGTTGGTTTTGGGAGGAGTTTTCTGCAGATCCTAAAAAAGCTGATAAATACAAAAGCTTGTCTCTTTCACATTTGTTCTTTTCTACGTCATTATTTTCATAGAATGGACAACTGTTTTTCTGCTTAACTTAGACACATTTAAAATTGCTCCTGTGCCATCAGTATGTACATGCTACCACACAGGACCTCTGGTCAGAGTCAAAGGTGAGAGTTCAGTGATCCCTTGCTATTCCTTATGTAAGTATACAACTGCAAAGAAACAACAGGAAAGCCAGATTCACAGATGACTGCACATCAGCTATCTCTGCTATGCTTGATCCACAGCCTACAGGAAACAACAGAAACTTTCTCATTAGTGAGGTTTAGATCTCTTCCACAGTAACCTAAGTACAGGTCTATCACATGCATGTATCCTGCATCAGGATTCCAACAGCTGAGCTTCTCATTTTCATTTGATCTTTTGTTTCCTAGGAGTTCAATGCTTTATGCTGAAAATTAACTTGTTTTCTAGGAAATAAGCAACTTTAAGAAAACTTGGGTAGGACTCATTATTTGACATAAATGTCTTCACTATCTATCTGAACTAGTGAGAGTTGGCTTCCTTCACAACGTTATATAGAGTGATAAAAAACACTTCTATGGTAAGATCTACCTGACCTACATAGACATTTAATTCTGGATATCAGGAAACCTAAGAACAGCATTTTTCTCTCAACTGAGTACCAAGACATCCTGGCATGAATGGGTGTGATTTAGATTATCTGTCATATAGACATGTGCCCTTGATCAGATGATCCCACTCCCAGGTGGCCCAAATTGGACACAGCAGACAAACAACTTTACTCATCATTTTTACACAATGACTATGGTTAAGCAAAACTGAAATAGAAGAGACTATCTGTGGAATAAAAAAAATCCAGTGTTTACTGCTGTGATATGAAATCAGTGGCTTAACAATCTAAACAGAGACAGCTTATCAAGCCCTTACCTTTGGGGATAGTAATCTGACAGCCCAGGTCACAGTCCTGCTGCAACTGATAAAAAGCCACTTCCTGCAGCCGAGCACGCTCCAGCTCCGAGAGGCTTTGAACGGGAACTGACTTCAGCCGAACACTGCGCCCTGACATGCTGTTCCAAGTGAAATCACCCTACAGGAAATCAAATGGAAAAATATGAAGCATCATATGGTATTCACAGTTTAATAAACAGAACCATCTCTCTTACTGCGAGAAAAAACAACACAGGTTCTTCTCACCAAAAGGCCATTTTCTTGGACATCTCTAAGCTTTCAAATATCTTTATTTTCCCTAGAGCAGCATTCCTTAAAAGGGATACAGACATGCAAAACAAGAAGTCAATTCTGTCTGAGGCCATTTAATCAAGTATTATTGCAAAAACATTAGGATTCCAGTAACAAAAAGCACAAAGCAGGGAAGGGGGAGGGGGGCAAGCGTCCTTGTCTGCTTTTCCCAGTTTGCTTTTGCTGTACAGTTCTCGACTGTCACTTAATTCTTTTCCTGCACCATTGGTCAGAGCAGCAGATCTTCAAAGGTTCATGGACAACATGAATCTTATCTCCCACATCTTGCTAATCTGACTCCACCAGACTCTAAGAGTGCACTGACAGACCCTTTTTCAACTCATCTCCTCCTTATGACAAGGCTGTGTTTAGAACAGGATTGTCTAAAGGACAAAATATTCCATGTTTTTGAAGAGCTGCAGTAACAACCTAGTTGTTAACATTTATAGAGGAAAACAGCATGAGATATGCTACATCTCTTGTAAGGTACTAATTATGCTCAGAAAGCAAACTGAAAGCTTTAGCTGTTGTACATCCCACCTGTGAGAACCTATACAAAAAACTACTCTCCGAGTATTCAGACTGGGCCAGAGAAATAATAATCACTCAAAGAGAACAGCGAGCATAAACACAAGTTTAAAGCCTGACAATTAACTTAAAGGAAGACTTGCAGAATTCATCAAAGCATCATCAAAGAGCACAGATTATTACAGAGAGAGAAAGAAGAATTTGTTTTTCATTCTAACCATGTTAAAAAATAGATATGAATCTTGTCAGTAAGTAAAACCATGGTGCAGCTGCTGATAATAAAAAAACTCTGATGCACATCAGCTGGGCTATAAGAAACCCACCAACATGCCTTTATCACAGCATGGCAGGCTTCCAGTTAATAAACTTTATTCTCATTTTCAGTTTAAATTTCAGCATCTGTACCTTCATTGCATATTAATTTTTTTCACTGTAAACTTATGATTCATCTGTTCTACACATCTAACTGCAGTCAAAGGATGTCCACTGACTTTAGAAATTACTAGCTCCTTAATATAAAAATCAGTAAAATTTTACTTTACTTAGCAGTTATGCATCCTGTTGCATGTAAACACCTCTGTGCAAATTTCCAAATATTTTGCCCATATATGTACATGTATATTTATATACACACATACAACCTGTGCAAACATTTGTATTTAAACATATATATGCACACCTATCATTGTGTGTTTTCACACAGAGGTATGAGACAAAAAACCATTAACAAATGTGCAGCACCATTTAGCAATATAGATTAAAGGAATTACATAATTAACATCTTTTCTTGTGATTCAAGAAATATGTTTGAGTTCAGCATAGTATTTTTTTTGCCAGAGTAGTTTTTGTAAGTCATTAGGTAATCATAATAGATAAAGGTATTACCTCAATGTCAACAACTGGACCTCAATATACTTAATGCATGTACTATGATCAAAGTCTTTATCGTATTTACATGCACATGGGCCACATATGCAAAACTTATGTGTTACCCCAGTATTTGACTACTGCAATTTGTTACTTGATTTTTTGCCTCTTCACCTCTTCTCCCTCTTCTGGTGCCTTACTGTTGACTAACCAGATTTAGCAATCTCAAACTAAAGGTTTGCACAGAGACACGAGTCAAGCTGTGTAGCTTAACTCAAGCAAAATCAAACCAGCAAGAGTCACATAGACTTTATTTGCAAAGCTGCAAGTAAACATTTACATTTTTTAAAAAGCTGTTGTCATTTATAGATAAAAGTGATCAAGAACAGCATCCACAACCAGGCAATGCATAGAACAAAATGAATTCCTTTCCAACCCTGATAATGCAAAAGAAACTTTACAAGCATAGAAGTATGCCATTCAATCCTCGTGAACATATAATATATAGAGTATTCTACAGTCAAAATGGTACAGACAGAGAAATACAGGTTTTTATGTGGAGTTTAGGGGTATTTTATCTTCATTATTTCTCCATCACGAGCATTTTCATAAACAAAACTATCACTGATATGTCTACCATAAAAAATTTGAAATCCTAACCCTTAGTATTAAAACAGGAAATCTCTGAGGTGGCTCTGTAACTGCAAGCAGTGAGCTGTTGCTGTGGGACAGCCCTGCACTAAGGTCCTACTCTGGGGACTCCAGCAAACCTCTGCACAGAGCTGAGCTGTTTCATATGGGCAGAGCACCCAACTCAGCACTACCTAGGCATGGAATATCCCACCCTTCCACCCATGCAAAGTGCTAGGATCACAATCCCTGGAAGTATTTAAAAGATGTGTAGAGGTGGCTCTTAGGTTCATGGTGGACTTGGGAGTGCTGGGTGTTGGGACTTGATGATCTCAGTCTTTTCCAACCTAAATTATTCTATGATTTTCTTTTCTGTAGGAATTCAAGGATTTGAAACCAACACAACTGTAAAAGCACCAAACAAGATTATGAGGCCTGATCCTTTCAATCCTTTTATTCTGCCAGTTTGCAAGGCCCCCATATGATCCTGGTGCTCATGTCTAGCTAAAAACAGTGTTTGCAACATCTGCACCTTGCAATGCCACAACAGGTTGCTGAGATTAAAGAATGTGCAAACAATTTGCCCAATTGCTGTGCAGTAAAGAAGACATTCCTTTTCAACACTTGATGGGTTTGATAAAATCTCTGCTAGGTCACATTAACATAGGTTTTTATTATGCTAATGGAACACATGACTAATAAACTAAAATATTTTTGGAAAATCATGTGGTAGGTAGGGCCAATGAAATCTCTTAATCTTTAAAGGCTCAATAAATATTTCCTTGAAAAAATCTGTTTCATTTGCAAATACATATCACTTATATATCACCGTCTTCTGTAAGTCAAAACATAGTATTTGAGAATTTAATCTATTCAAATACTCCCATGCTTTACAAAATGCAAGGTAAATTAAAGACCTCATCTTCCTCTCAAAGCACAGTTATACAAGCAGCCTGTAAATTATTGCAAAATCATCCAAGCTTGGAAAAGGTCCAGAAAGTCAAGCTCCCTTGAAGAACGGGTGCTGGTGTAATTACATCTACCTAAAGCTATTCTGCACTCTGTGGGGCAACCAAAGGAGGAAAAGGGTAGCACAAACATGAAGAATATTTTCTGCTTCTTTCTCCATGTGAGAGGCAACACTTCACCAGCCTAATTCAACATCAGCCTGACCTAGCTGGAAGCTTAAAAGGAGCAGAAGATCTTTAAGCAACGTGTCAGAATAACGTGTTTGTTTTTTTGAAGTTCATGACCGTATGTGTTCAGACATAGTTGCTCTCTATTATTTAGATTATAGAACTATAGATCTGAATATGCTCTGCAAATGACTCCATCACCAAGAAGAAAACGGCAACACATAAACAGAGGAGTGTAAATAGAAATACTGTTCTGGGATAAAGTGATCAGCCTGACAGGACATAAACTTCTAACTGCAGAGCTGTTTCTTCAAAGAATTTTATGAAACCATAATCTAGACTAAAAGCCTTCTATGGTTTCTTCCACCAACCAGTCATGTATTTTTCCTCTCAAGTCTGCAACTCCAGCTGCATTTTCTTTCTGGCACTCCCATGAATATCTAACATCTTTCTTCCACTCAAACGAGCAGTTCACTTACCAGGTAACTACCTAAAATACCAGAGTAGATGACTCAGCAAAGAAGATGACTGGAAAACTGCACCTTTTGCCTCTGAAGAATCTGAATCTGTCCATTTTCCCTGTACTTCTTGTCCACAGTTGTAAGCACAATCATAAACACATATTTAATAAGATGCAGACTGCAGCTTTTCTGATATTCTTTAAAGCATTTTTCTAATAGGTTGGATGTTTGGTAGCTCCAAAATAAACATTAAGTGGTACATCCTGACTTAAGTAACACTGTGCACTTAAATTACTCTTAAGCATGTCTAAGCTATTCTTGTGTGCCTGACCTCTTTCCCCCTAGCCTCCAGCAGAAAATCTTGCAGATGTCTTAGAGAAAAGCCTCCTTCCTCTGTCTTTTGTACAATACAGAAACTGTTGACACTGCATGGAATGCTGAATGTAGATGCAAATCTATAGGCAGTGACCAATTTGATTTCTGTGGAGTTTCAAGCCTTAGTGAGTTATGTGGATGGTGCACAGGCTGGGAAATAAGAACCCTCACACATCACAGTTTTATAAAAAAGAATTTAATGAAAAATGGAGAGTGTAATTTTTATCTTATGCCTTATTGCTATTGTTAATGACTTTGGTCTGTACTCATTTAGGTGAACACCATTATCAGATTAGCTGTCTACTTTTCATTAAGTCTTTTGCTCAAATCCATTTGAAACCACTAAGATCAAAACCAATTATGCCTACTTTTTCTATCCTAGCAACTTTCAGCTATGTGTTTGTATTTAGATGAGTCCACTGTTAAAGAACTCAGTGGTTTTACACAAGAACGTATTGCAAATAACATAGCAAATATAGTATTAGAGAGTCTTAGTTCTGTTTGTTTAATTACTTCTTCATGCTTCATGAAACCATGTATCACTGCCACTTTACACAACCTTTTGCTTCCCCTGGTCATTTATTTAAACTCTCTCTACAATTATTTCCAGACTCCTCAGGCATAAACTCTCACAATTTGGCTGTTGGTACAGGTAATCCCTCTCTTCTTCATTTCCCTGGTGTTGCTGTTAGTAAGAACCAAAATGAGTTCTGAAGTAAAAGTCAGTCACTTCAGTACAGCCACATACTCTGTCCTATTGAATCAACATGCAGAATACTGTTCCTGGACAGGATGAGAATGAAGGAGAAGGGGAAAAACTAATTTTAAGCTTTTAAGCACTATATGCAGTT